GGTACATTCTGGAGGATATCCCCAACCTCCTACCTCCCAAGCTTGCATATTTCCATTCTTTCTGCTGGTCCTCAGGGATTTCAGTCCTTTTCCCCCACCCAATACCAGATCATGTTCCCCTCTTTGTCCACCCATCCTATTTTCCTCCCACCCATCCTATTTTTCCTCCCAGATCCTCCCCCCTTGAGGTTGCTTTCTCCTCCTTCCCAAGTGGGACTCAATCATCCTCACTTAGTCCACTTAGTCCCTTAAGCTTGTTGTTATCTTTGAGTTCTCTGGGCTGTATTTTGGGTGTTCTGCACTTTTTTTTGGCTAATATTCACTTATTAATGAATACATACCATGCATGGTTTTTTTTTTGAGTCTGAGTTGCCTCACTCAGGATGATATTTTCTAGTTTCATCCATTTGCCTGTAAAATTCAGGATGTCTTCATTCATAATAGCTGAGTAGTATTCCATTGTGCAAATGAACCACAGTTTCTGTGTCGATTCTCCTGTTGTGGGATATCTGGGTTGTTTCCAGTATCTGGCTATCACAAACAGGGGTACTATGAACATAGTGGAACACATGACCTTGTGTCATGGTGGGACATCTTTTGAGTATATTTCCAAGATTGGTATTGCTGTGTCTTCAGATAGATCTATTTCCAATTTTTTGAGGAACCTCCAGATTGATTTCCAGAGTGGTTGTGTGGGACTGCGTCATGGTTGAGCAGTTGCCTAGAACCCCGAGACTCTGTGTGAGAACAGGCAGGAGTTTGGCGTGCCCCAAGAACCCAGGGTCCTGAAAACAGTCAAGTTTCCTTAAAATTCAGTCAGATAGGCCAGACTATAGGCCTCAGGCCCTAGGGATTTACATACTAATGAAGGCCAGACAGCACCTCCCAAAGTACAAGGGTAAAGGGTGTGACTAGAGGCCTCAGGGCCTAGGGATTTACATACTAATGAAGTCCAGAGGGCGGAACAAATTAAGCATGCCTCCCCAGATCCTCCCCCTTTGTCCCTCCCTATATAACTCGGGACTGCCCTGAGTTTTATGGGGGTATGCCTAGATCCATCCACCATCTGCCATGCAAATAGACCTTTCTGGAATGTAGGACTTCCTCGTGTTATTGGGGCCTGCTGCTGCCAAAGCCTCCAGGCCACTGGAACCATAGACGTTCCTCCCTCATGTGGGACCCATCGCAGCGCATGGAAACCCACTGGGACTCCACAGCTGTGGGCTCTATTCCCCCCCCCCCCCCCCATGGTTGTACCATTTTGCAATCCCACCAGCAATGGAGGAGTGTTCCTTTTTCTTTCTCCACATCCTCACCAACATGTGTTGTCACCTGAGGTTTTGATCTTAGCCATGGTTATTTGTGTAAGGTGGAATCTCAAGGTGGTTTTTATTTGCTTTTCTCTGATCACTACAGACTTTGAACATTTCTTTAGGTGTTTCTCAGCCATCTGAGATTCCTTTGTTGTGAATTCGTGGTTTAGTTCTATACTCCATTTTTTGATTGGGGTGTTTGGTTTTTTGGTAGTTAGCTTCTTGAGTTTTTTATATATTTTGGATATCGTCCCTCTATAGGATGTGGGGTTAGTGAAGATATTTTCCCAATCTGTATTTGCCAATTTGTCTTATTGGCTGTGTCTTTTACCTTACAGAAGCTTTTCAGTTTTATGAAGTCCCATTTATCAATTGTTAGAGCATGAGCCATTGAAGTTCTTTTTGGGAAATTTCACCCTGTACATCACCTAAAACTCAAAGGCAGGCATGGAACTAAGTGATTGGCATGGCAATATTTTACATGACTGAGTTTCTGAATTTATCATAGAACAAAAAAATGAAAAATGCTTTAGATCTCACATGAAGAAGAGATAAAATATCATGTGTTCTTTTCTCCTCTTTCCTCTGTGAGATGTGAAAGTCAAACAGAGCTCTCATATTTGCCTAGTTTCTCCTGAGAAAGAGTAAGCAAGACAGCAAGAAAACTATTCTCACTCACAGAAACCAGACTGCCACAGCTAATCTTTATGGAAAATCTGAGCAAAGTCTAGGCATTGCCATTCCTCTTGAGAGAAGTGTAAACCCATAAAACTGAATGCAGTGTAATCCCAAAGTTAAAGCAGTGTGAGCCAGCTGTGTTGGTTTACTGCTTTAGTCTTAGCACTAGGGAGGTAGGACTACATGGTGAATTATTCTGAGGAAGATAAGGCAAAGGAGTGATATATTCAGTGAAACAAATCAAAACCCAAACAACACAAAACCACTTTGCCCATGAATATATTAGAAGACTATTCTTTGTTGGACCAAAACACATTTAGAGGCTATTTTTCTCATACATATGAGTGATAAGAATTATTTAAAAGATGCTTTCCAATATTTTTCATCTATAGTGCATCTTACAACTGTAAAACCAGTGTGGCCTGATACTCACTGCATAAATGGTGTACTTTTCCACATTATAAAGAAAAAATTAAGAATCCTTCATATGAATTCTTTTTTAAAATAAATTATTTATTTTATGTATAAGAGTATACTGTAGTTATCTTCATATATACCAGAAGAGGGCATCAGATGCCATTGCATATGGTTGTGAGTCACCATGTGGGTTGTTGGGAACTGAATTCACCACCTATGGAAGAGCAGTCAGTGGTCTTAACGACTGAGCTAGCTCAGTGAATGAAGACACATCTGAGTTCTGTATTTACATGCTATAGTTCATACATCTCAGAAGAAAAATTAACAATGAGTGAAAATTTGCTTTGTAGGTGTTAATGTGTTCAACTATTACTTTAGAAATCAGTAAAGTATATTTTCAGCTTCCGTTAAATCTGCATTGGTTCCTCATCGGACTAATTTCCAAACAGCTCTTGGGATACTAGCCCCAGAAACAAATTCTACTCTCTTTGCTATTTAAATTCTTGACTAGGCTAGTGATAGAACAGGGGAGTGATAGAGCAGGGGAGTTAGAAAGTAGGAATCAATTATAATTCCATAAGCTTCTTAATTGCTACAATAACATGAGGACCCTGTTTGCAAACAAGAGATAACACAAATCCTTTACCAGCTTATTTTTCTGTAACTATGCTGGCAATCATAAGATAAATGAAAAAAAACCAATTAAGCCCCAGTTCATATTACCTAAAGTTTATGAGATGGGTAGATATCCACAATGAAATTCTGTGAGCCCTTGTTCTCCTGCACAACAGCAGAAAATCCAGTCAAAGCCCTGGTTACTTTTGCACTGCCTGTTTCACAACTCTGCATGTATGTCAATTTGGCTGCAGTTTCACCCACTGTACTGCTGATAACTCTCCTAGGGTGAGAGCTGTACGTAGATGATAATTCTGCACAAGGTGTCCTACGGCTAAGGGAAGTTTTCCTGTCTCTAAAAAATGCATCTTCTCTTTGGCTTGTATAATCTATCCCTTCCCAAGCACTTCCTCACATGTTAAATTTTTCATGCCCACACAACCTACTTTTTATTTCCCAATCATTTATTCAGATTAGGTGATTGCCCCATTCTCACCAATACCCATCTGTTCCATTCTGTCCAGGGTACCTTCAACTCAACTCCAGAGGTTATGCTGCCCTGGACCTGTTCTCTACAGCCTCCCACATGTTGCAGCTCTCATATATAAGAAGTGTTTATAAATGAGTACAGAATGAAGAAAACAATAAAGAATGAGGAGTACAAGGTGAGATGTCTTCATTGTGCACAAGTTTACAAATTCTCCACAGGGAATCTGTGAATTAGGTAGGACAACCATCTAATGTCATCAAGCAGAGGGGCCTCAATCCATGGAACACCTGATATTGGCACTCCAGGAATCAGTCAAGCTAGTTGCGTTCTCCAGATTGCTAAGTGCCTATGCAGATGCCTATGTTTCTACTGTATCCTGTTTAGATTATTCAGCCCTGATATGGCAGCAACTGATAAATACTGTCATATGATCATTCCAGTAAGAGCCTGAATTTACTCGATTGTACTAATCATCAATACTACCTTCCATACGGAGCACAAATGTTCTTAAATAATATTTCTCCATTAGTTGAATATGAATGACTCTCCCCTTGTACTGAAATCCATAAAACATCTATGTATTGATATGATTTTGTTTATTGTAATACACTGCACTTTCTAAGGTCTAAAGTTTCTGAGTTTTAAATCTCAAAATTCTAATATACTTTGGAATTGAACTAAATACTTCATCATCTTTTTTTCGGTACTTCAAAATGATCTTCCAGCATACCTTTGGGGATATCTAAATTGCACATGAGCATGTGTGTCTTCTCTTATTCATAGGTTATTTCTTTAAAGCTTCATAGTCTTTTGATATTTGCATGGAAGGACTTATGTATAAAATGAAGGTGAATATAAGTCTTTATTAAAGCATTTTCTGTGGCTTTACTTCATGCTATTTCAGATGTTTACAATTTTAAATTTGTGTAAAGGATTTAACAAAAGGAATTCATTTGTTGAGCCTTGTAGAGTGGGATTTGTAAAGCACAACAGGACATGAGAATAGCACATTTTTTTAAATTTTCCCACAGACAGTGGTGTTCTGAGGGTCACTGGAGTTTGACTGAATTATGGGGTGTAAGCCTGAGTTCAGAGTCATGCACAGAAACAGTCTATTTGGATGTTGTCTTTCAGTAACACAGGTTTGTAGCCGTATTTTCATTTGTCTCACCAAGGACCTTTCACTCTCCTCCATGAATGCAAGGAAGAGAGTAGCCTTCTTTCTTAGGCTCCCTAAGCCTCTACATGCTGTGTTGAGTCCTTTTAATGGGATCATGTACTATCATAGTAGTAAACCTGGAACAGTAATCACAAAGAACGTCTGTACTTTAATCAAATGTTTCCTCTCTAATATTCACTTTCTGGCATACAAGTTTTGAGGAACAATTAATGGGTTCAGAACATGTTGTATGTGAGACTTTTCCTGGCAAGACCCAACATTCATATATACCCACTCAGCCAAAATGGGAATTCATAACAAAACCAAGTATGCTTGCCACTGAAAACCAATGGGCTTTATTGGGGTTACATACATAAATACTAGAAAGGAGCTGCTTATAGGAGGAAAACATAGTTGGACTATGAAACTCCAAACCAGCATGAAATACAGCATATAAACACTGGATACTCAGAGCACACTACACACCTGTAGGCATATCTACACGTTAAAGGGCATCATATCTTACTGGCTCAATATATCAAATGTCTTCTAAGCAGCAAGACTGGTATGAGTTTCTTCAAAATAATTAATCCTGTCAATTTCAGGTACTCCCTGAAGATGTGTTGAATTTTTCATTTCCTGGCTTATTCAGCTTCCTTATAGGATGGAATGTTTTAGTTTAAAAAAAAAAAAACAACACCTGCTACACAACAGAACACTTTTCAGGCTTCTCCATTTTGTTGTCATTATGAAGTATTTGAATTTGAAAAAGAAACATTTTAACAAAAATTTTCTTGCAATGCCATTTGCAGCTTTTTCTTTCAGAATAAAGGTTTTTTTTTCTAATATTTGAACATTACTCAAAGGTATTTTCAAGTTTCTTATGTTCATGAATCTCTAGTGGTCTATTAGCACAGAGATTGTATAAAGCATATGCCATACTATTTACTATTGAAACTTTTGTTTCCTGTATGGATTTTTCTGATGTTTTCTTAGACATGAGAGGCGGGTAAAGACTGTGCTATATACATTGCATTTATAAGGCTACTCTCCTGTATAAATTCTTTGATGAGTTCTAAGGTGGGCGTCTTGGATAAAGGATTGGTCAAATTCATTGCATTGGTAAGGCTTCTTGCAGTATGAATTTTCTGATGTTTTCGAAGAACTGAACCACCAGTAAAGGATTTTTCACATTCACTACATTTGTAAGGTTTCTCTCCCGTATGAAGTCTCTGATGTGTTCTAAGGTGATCTTTCTGGATAAAGCATTTGTCACATTCATTACATTTATATGGTTTCTCTCCTGTGTGGATTTTCTGATGTGTTCTAAGATTGGCTTTCTGGATAAAGCATTTGCCACAGTCACTACATTTGTAAGGTTTCTCTCCAGTATGAATTCTTTGATGTCTTCTAAGGTGGGCTTTCCTAATAAAGCACTTGTGACATTCACTGCATTTGTAAGGTTTTTCTCCAGTATGACATTTCTGATGCTTCCTAAGATCTGAGCCAACTGTAAAAGATTTCCCACATTCACATTTGTAAGGTTTCTCTCCAGTATGAATTCTCTCATGAGTTCTAAGATTGGCTTTCTGAATAAAGCATTTGCCACAGTCACTACATTTGTAAGGTTTTTCTCCTGTATGAATTCTGTGATGTCTTCTAAGGTTGGCTTTCCGGATAAAACATTTGTCACATTCACTGCATTTGTAAGGTTTCTCGCCAGTATGAATTTTCTGATGTGTTCTAAGGTCTGAGACAACAGTAAAGCATTTGTCACATTCACTACATTTGTAAGGTTTCTCTCCTGTATGAATTCTTTGATGCTTTTTAAGCTTTGCTTTCTGGATAAAGCATTTCTCACAGTCACTACATTTGTAAGGTTTTTCTCCAGTATGAATTTTCTGATGCATTCTAAGATCCGAGCCTACTGTAAAGGATTTGTCACATTCACTACATTTGTAAGGTTTCTCTCCTGTATGGATTTTCTGATGTCTTCTAAGGTGGGCTTGCTGAATGAAGCACTTGTGACATTCGCTGCATTTGTAAGGTTTCTCTCCAGTATGAATTCTCTGATGTATTCTAAGAGATGAGCCAACAGTAAATGATTTCTCGCATTCATTACATTTATAACTTTTCTCTCCTGTATGAATTCTTTGATGTGTTTTAAGTTGGGATTTCTGAATGAAGCATTTGTCACATTCAGCACATATGTATGCTTTCTCTCCTCTATGAATTCTCTGATGTCTTTGAAGACCCGAGGAGGAGGAAAGGGATTTGCCACATTCATTACATCTGTGAAGTTTTTGTCTATGGTGGGTTCTGTAATGGCTTTCCAGGAGTGATAATGTATAGAAGGACTTACCACATTGTTTACATTCATAAGGCCTCTCTCTTCCATAAATTTTATGGTGTTTTTTAAGACCTAAGCAGCAGATAAAGGATTTTCTACAATCACTACATTTGTAAGTCTCCTCTTCAGTGTGAATTCTGTAATGTCTTTCAAAGCCTGATGAATGATAATAGCACTTACCACATTCTATACATTTGTAGGGTTTTTCTCCATAGTGGATATTATAATGTAGTTTGTGGTGTGACAAATATAGAATGGACTTACTGCATTCTGTGAGTTTATAGGGTTTCTCTCCAGGATGAGCTCTCCGATGTCTATAGAGACTTGAATAGGCCCTGAAGCATTTTCCACATTTTCTGCACTGGTAAGGTTTCTCTCCACTACACATCCGTTTTATCATGAGTTTATGTTTAGAGTCAAAATATTTATCACACTCTGTAATTTTGTGTTCTTTCTTTCCAGCGTCGATCTGTGGATACGGGCCAATGATGGAACACAAATTTAAATACTCCCTATAATCTTTGTATTGTTCTTCTTCAGTGTTCCTACTTTTATGTGCCATTAGGTTTAAAGATTCATTAGAAGGATCCCGTTGGTTTTCACTCCCATACATCTTGCAGTTTTCTGTGGTATCACTTGTGTTATAAGGTATGCTTTGGGAGGACTCATAAGGCATTTTGCCAAGCTCATGACATTGGTAAGACTTCTCTTCGATATTTTCATGCTGATAGACAATATGGTTTGAGCACTGATCCACAACCTCTTCATATTTACCACAAATGCAATGGTTTTCTGGAAAATTAGCAAATTAGGGACAGTAAGGATTGATGTTTGATTAGACAGATTCAATAACTTATGTCTCCTTAAGTTTAAGTTTTCAAAGACAAATAAACTAGCAATTCACAGAAATAGAGTTCTCAGTAGAGGACATTTGTGTTTCACTATTATTAAATGGATGCTCAGAAGACTCTCCACTCTGATCTCTATCAAACTGAAAGGACCAATAATAGCCTTTTCATTCTTATCTAAACTGTGTATGTCGTAGAATATTGAACAAATAGATGATTAAAGAATAATGCAATTTGAGAAAGAAGCTTTCTAAACAATCATATGTAGAATACTTCTCTTTTTTGTTGTTTGTGTTTTTGAGAGAGTCACAACATGGAGCCTTCGTTGGCTAGGAATCCATTATGTAAACCAAGCTGGCCAGGAACTCACCAGATCCATTTGCTTCATCTTCCCTAGTGATAGAATTAAAAATCATGCAGTGCTAGGACTAGAGACCTTATCTCAAAAAAATTTAAAAAAGAACAAAAAAAAAGAAAAAAAATCCCAACGTGCACACCACCAACAGCTCTTTCCATATTTTAAAATTTCTTCTTCTTGAAATCAGAAATAGATCAATAGCTTAATCAAAGAGAGAAATGAAAGTATTCCAACAACTAATTGCTGCACAATAATGAGTTTCATTGCTTTGAATATTCAGGTTTCTTTCAGCTCTGAACTTATGATTAAAAACTAGATGAGAGAGTTGGAGAGATATTATAGTATATAGGATTGGTTGTTCTTGCAGAGAATGTTGGAAAATGTAGTTATGGATATTGTTACAGGAATTTTCCTTCTTTCTGGTTGTCTCTGGACAGATTAGAGAGCTTATATATGTACAAATTAGGTAAATACAAAGAATGAGTGAAGAATTCTATAAAAAAAAAAAAGCATTCTTACCTATAAAAACTAGATTGCTGTAATTCTCCCACATTACATCCATGTACAGAGCTCTTTGAGAGGAGTCAAGATACTCCCATTCCTCCTGGGAGAAGTCCACAGCCACGTTTCTGAATGTCAATAAGTCCTGTAATGGAAAATAACCCATTTACCATGTGCTGTCAACAAAATGTTTCCCTAGGTAAAAGGATCTAAAGAATCAGACAATTGTAGGAGGAGCTAAGGTGGGAGGAGTAAGGAGAGGAAGAGGAGTTGGGAGAGGAAGAGAAAAAAGGAAGAGGAGGAGCTAGAGAGGGCAGAGAAGTAGGAGGATGGAGAACCACACAGGTATGGAGAACACTCGTGGGGAAGAACTTATAAACTTATAATTAGGTTAGCTAATTAGGATACAACTCTCTTTGTATGGGCATCTTGTTATTAATCATTATCAAACATATAAAGCCTTTGATTAATCTACAAGAATTAGCGTTTCATTCTCTTACTGGGCCTGCATGGATGGCGGAAAAAACTGGAGAAAATGTACTCATAATAACACCGGGAATAAAAATGTTTTGCATAAATAGTAGATGGATAGAGGAGAGGTGGGAGTAAGATTCCATGTTCAACTCACAAAAACAGGAAACCAATAGTTCTAACTGGAGTGAAGAAAATGGCGGAATGGTCTGGGCAATGCCCTGCCTTGCGGAGACAGCATGGAAGATTGGCAGAGCCATCTCTCATGCTGGCATTCTAGTGGGTGGCAGGGCTGGGGTTTCTGGCGGCCTGGTTCTAGCTGCAGGAAAAATGTGGCCTCAGGCCGAGAAACATGGCGGCTGGACTAGGCAGAGCCGCTACAGCTTAGATAGTCTGCCTGACCCTGAGGCCGTTTTAAATAATTACAACAGACAATTTCGTGATATAGATGAGTCATGAAAATTATTCAAAAATAAAAGTTGTCTCACCTGGGGATCCATCCCATAGACAGACACCAAACCGAGACACTATTGCAGATGCCAAGAAGTGCTTGCTGACAGGAGCCTGTCTCCTGGGAGGCTCTGCCAGAGCCTGACAAATACAGAGGCAGATGCTCACAGCCAACCATTGGACTGACCATGGGGACCCCTATGGGGGAGTTAGGGAAAGTACTGAAGGAGCTGAAGGGGCTTGCAACCCCTTAGGAAGAACAACAATATCAACCAACCAGACGCCCCCAGAGCTTCCAGGGACTAAACTACCAACCAAAGAGTACACATGGAGGGACCCATGGCTTCAGTTGCATATGTACAAGAGGACGGCCTTGTCAGGCATCAGTGGGAAGAGAGGCCCTTGGTCCTCTGAAGGCTCAATGTATCAGTGTAGGAGAATGGTAGGGCAGTGAGGTGGGAGTGAGTGGGTGGGGTAGCACCCTCATAGAAGCAGGAGAAGGGGAGATGGGATGGGGGTTTGAAGAGTGAAAACCAAGAAAGGGGATAAAATTTGAAATGTAAATAAATAAAATATCCAATAAAAAAGGAGAAATAAAAGCCATAAACTATTTGAAATAAGTAAAAAATTCATTGGAAATAAACACTTTAGATAACTTTACCAGAGGTAGGCTTGCAGGTTTCAACAACAACCAACAACAACAACAACAACAACAACAACAAAAAACAATTGAAAAAAAAAAAAAGGAAATGTGAATAGAACACTGACCTGGGGCACATCTATCAGAGAAGCAGCCATTTTTCCTGTTGTTCCTCTCTGAGTTTCTGTCTCAGGAACAAAGACCGGAACTCTTCTTGACATTTCATATTAAGATGTCAAAAAAAAAAAAGCTAGAATTAATACAATCCTCTTACAGACAATGTTAAACCACATTAAAAAACCCCCCAAACAACAACAACAATTATATCTGAGATACTATCAATGTTCTTACAGATAGAAAAGCAGGGGAGAATACATTTGGAGAGATGAAATAACTACGGATCCACTGCACCCACAAATTTTGGCTCTTAAAATTCATGGAGAAGAAAGTGCATTTGAAGAAGTTATGAAATAATACAGGTCACCCTCTCAAGCAGCACTAAAGTTCACAATTGGAGATAAACTATACATAGGAAAAAACTGGAGAAAATTTACTCATAATAACACCGGGAATAAAAATGTTTTGCATAAATAGTAGATGGATAGAGGAGAGGTGGGAGTAAGATTCCATGTTCAACTCACAAAAACAGGAAACCAATAGTTCTAACTGGAGTGAAGAAAAATACTACCAGTAATGTTACCAACCAGTATATATTTTTAAAATACTTTAAGAAATAAAAACCTATAGTAAGTAAATCTCAGTAGAGATGGAAATATCTGAGACAAAGTTTAACAGGATTGGCTTTTGTAAGAGCCAATTGTTCAGGCAAATTGTAAGAAACAGAACACAGCTCAACACAGTAAAGGGCAGGTGTGTTACATGGAAGCCCACAGCCCAGTGCCGATGGGAAAAAAAGAAAGAGCATTAGCAGGAACACTGTAAAGAGAGGAAGATGCATGTGCTCTCCAGTCTCATTTATTCCAGAGTGAGCTACAGAAATCTAAATAAGACAAAGAGTATAAAGGAGATACAGGTAAGGAAGAATGGCAACAAATTTGTTTTAAATGATCAAGTCACACACAAAACTTTCCACAGACACCATGGGAAAAAAATCTTAGAGTTGTGATTTAACTATTATTCAAAAATACAAAATTAATATACAAAGCAATTAGTTTTCATATGAACATATAATGACAATTAGGGGAATAAATTAAAAATGTAGCACATTCAGGTAGGTTCACAAGGAACTAGGAATAAGCCTAAATAATGATGACTTCTCTTCTATGAGGAAAATTTTAAGGCACTCATAAAAAAAAAATAAAGAAAAAGAAAAGCACAAAAGGAAATGGACTGCCTCACACTCCGACTGACAAATGATGCGGTGTAAATGATTTATTACTAACAACCACCAGCAGAACTGATGCAATTCCCATCAGCAAAACACTGACATCTTCCACAAAAGTAGATATGGAAACCAGTCACATCGTTGCAGGAAAATCACAAATATTATTGTGGGGAGCTCAATTCTAGAAGTAGGTAAGAAAAGTTTTCTTTAAATAGAAATTAGGGGTCTGAGAAACTCAGCCTCTTTCCCGAGAATTCCCAATCATAAGTGAGAGAGTGAAATTAACAAGGGTTCTTCTGAGTCCTGTGCAACAAGGCAATTTGTATAATTATTGAAAAGTTTGCTACAATCCCCCAAAGGAAACATTCAGAGCTACAGCTCTGCTGCTTTATAGTCACAGGAAATAGTGCAAAGAGAGCCATGAAAGGGGACCTAAAACTCCTGGTCATTATTAAATAAATAAATAAATAAATAAATAAATAAATAAATAAAGAAGAGGGAGCGGGAGGGTGAGGAGGGAGGGAGAGAGGGAGTTTCATTTTTCTGCCAAAATAACTTGGCATGGTGGGCCAAATGGACTGTGCAGCCATTTGTCTTCCAGATCAGCCATGTGTGTTTGAGGCTCATCATCCCAACCAAGCTGACTGGATCTCAACGCACTCCACCTCCACTTCCTTTTGCAAGGTCAGCGTCTGGCCTATCTTGGAGCACTGAATGGCACCTGAGGCAAAACCTGAATATCAATGAATGGCGAGTGGAGCCTCTGCTGCTGCAGCATGAGCTAGCCTGGCTGCAGCAGCGCTTACATTGTTTTTGCTTGTCTGATTTGGTTTGCTTTCTCTCACACTGGAAATAACTCAACATAGACTGATCAACGGTCTCTTCATGGGGAAAGAATAAAACAAGCCCACCCTCTTGCATAGTAAGAGTTGCAACGAGGTCACAAAGCACTTAAGTCAACTATGGTTACATTTCCTGAGGTATTATTGCTCAATCATTATATAGAAACTTACTCGTCTCCTTATCACCTAATCAACACTTAAATGAATGCTTAACTTTCATGGTAAATAGACTGAAAGATCAAAATATAAAATTCTGAGTCATCTCAATTGGGTACATTCTCATCTGCCAATCACTACTGAGGATTTAAGTAAGATCTTTAAGTTGACTTCGGGAGATGCTTGCTTATATTCTATAAGAAATGTAACAAGAAACTAGGCTGTTTTGAGTTGTTCCTTGCCAATGCAATTAATCTAAATCTCTTCACTTTAGCCTCAGGCAGACTCTTTAGACAAAGAAAAAAAAGCAGATATATTCTTCACCAAAATATCACAAGGCAACAAACTAAAATTGTCCTGTGTAACTTCTTGAGCCATGCCCCACAGTTCAAATAACCCTCAGCACCTCATTTCCTAGTAGGATGGCCCATTAAGCTCCACTTGAAGTGTTTTTCTAATCCAAACTTCCAGAATCCACATTCCTCTAAATAAAAACATGGTTAAGCCTACCACAGCAAAAAGCAACAAGACAAAAAATTAAAAATAACAATGTAAATATACTTGGGATAAGCTTAAAAATTAAAATAGAAACAAATTAAAATAGAGAAATTTAAAAAACATATATTTCTTCTGGGTAATATGGTGGCCAATTGCATGTTTCACAAATTCCCATGGAAGCCAAAAGGGGCTAATAAATTAGAAAATCAATTTAAAAATTAGATTTATTTGGAAATTTTCACCTTGTAGAAGGAAAAATTATGGATACTGGGTATATAGAATCCTTTTTAGACATAAAATATTCTTTAGGCTTTCTTTACAAAGACATGGAGGCATGAAGCAGGTTGGAAATGTGGACAGACTGGCTAGAATGCAATTTAGTCAGGTGGAACCAAGCTGAGAACCATAGTGACAGGGCAAGGCCGAAGTGACAGGGCAAGGCCGAAGTGACAGGGCAGGACTACATTCTTGAGAAAGATAAGCGTACAGAGAGTTTTCACCTGATCCTGACTCATGTAGGTTGGGTTCCTTTGGAATGTTCCACTATTTTTATGTTATACCACCCTAGCAACCCCCTCACCCCCTCCTCATTTCCTTGGTTTGTGGTTTTTCCCTTTAAAACCCGTTCCAAACTGGCAGTCGGGGTCAATTCAGCTCCTGCGTGGGCATGCGAATTGACCGGCAGCTAGCTGTCACGCCCTAATAAATAACCTCGCAATTGCTCCGGTATATGGTGTCTCGAGTAGATTACTGGGTGGTCGCGACTTTCTGAGACTTGAGAGAGGGTCACCCCTCTGCGGAGGTCTTCAACCTAAAATTACTTCTAATTAATTCTAAAATTACAGCCTAAGAATCTGTGACAGGCCCAATGTGAGATCCAGCTCAATGGGAAACCCAAGACCTGACACTATTACTGAGGCTATGGAGCTCTCACAAAAAGGGACCTATCATAACTGCCCTCCAAAAGACCCAACAAGTCACTGAAAGAGTTAAATGCAGATATTTGCACCCAACCAATGACAGAAGCCACTGACCCCTGTGGTTGAATTAGGAAAAGGCTGAAAGAAGCTGAGGAGGAGGGCGACCCTGTAGGAAGACGAGAAATCTTAATTAATCTGGAGTCTCAAAATCTCTCAACACTGGACCACCAAAAAGGCAGCATACACCAGCTGATATGAAGCCCCCAACACATATACAGCAGAGGACTGCAGCGTATGTGTTCAATCAGAGATGATGCACCTAATCCTCAAGAGACTGGAGGTTCCAGGGAGTTTAGAGGTCAGGTGGGGTGGCAGTGGGGGTGGGGCCATCCTCATGGAGCTGGGGTGGATGGGGTGGGTGGGTTGGGGGTATGGGGTGGGAGGGGGCAGGGAGGAGGTATGGGATGTAGAACAGTCGGGGAGTGGATAGAGGTGGGGAATAAAATCTTGAGTGTAAATAAATAAATAATAAAAAATTTAAAATGTTATACCATGTCACATAATTACTCAAATAATAATTGTAATAGACCTCAGGATAACTTGTTTATCTAATGCTAGAAAATTTTGTAAGGAATAGTAAATTTGAATTGTAAATTGAAAAAATCAACATAAAAAATAAAGTATATGCGGTTGTTTGATTTAAAATGGTCCCCACACTCATAGGGAGTGGCATCATTTAAAAGGAATAGGACATGTAGCCTTGTGGGAGTAGAACAAATCTGGGAGGGGTCTGCCATTACATCACAGAATAAGAAAACTGTGGTGCTTGTACTTTCCTTCCATAGCAGGCTTCTCTGTAGATGGGATGCTGGATCATAGCATTTTCCTGTACTATAAAATGTTCTACAATTAGGGAGGATCCTCTCAAAAATTTCTGCCGTGTTCCTAATTACATCATCAGTATGATAAATCTTCTGCTTCCACATTACAAAGGGCACAGAGTGTTCTCCAGCTCTGGGCTCCATGAACACAAACAACATTATTTACCCTATATAGTCATCATCCCTAATTCTCGAATGTTGAGATGAGGTATCAGCTGTCCTGTCACATATTCACGCTTACTCTCACAATAGGAGTGAGAATTGTGTGATCTTTCCTGTACTGTTATCTTGAATCCTTATACAATACCTCCAGATTATTTACTGTCCCCCCTCCTCCTTCCTTTCCCCTTCCTTTCCTCCCTCCCTCTCTCCCTCCCTCCCTCCTTCCCTCCCTCCTTCCTTCCTCCCTTCTTCTGTTTTTATGTGTATGAGTGCCTTTGCCTGCACATAGGTCTGTGTACCTCTTACTGCAGTCCCTGCAATGAGCAGAAGAGAGCACCTAATCCTCTGGAACCCAAGTTACAGGAGGGTATAGTACCCATGCTGGTAAAGGGAACTGAACCTGGAACCTGCAAGGGCAGCAACTGCTCATAACTGACGAGCCTCCTCTCCTGGTCCTTGTTTACTGTTCCTTAATTAGCTACTCTAGAGACTTCAATCAAGGAACAGGGGCACAGAATTCATGGAACAATGAGGACAAATTTTGTTCTCAAGGGTATCAGGTTGAGTACAAGTTCATAAAGGACAGTCACATAGACCTGGCTGACAAAAACATGCTCAGAAGTTTTGGGAGAAAGAGTGCTGGTTGTAAAAGACATTTGACTATAACTATGCGCCTGAGGCCTTACAAGCATAAGAACAAGCCAATCTGAAATATTATATAGAAAAATATTTTTAAAAAGATTGTGTAGCAATTAATAGAGAATCAAAGATAATACAATGAATCAACGAAATCCACTTGTTTCTGTGATGAGATAAAGGTACGGAGGAAGCAGTTTTACCTAATACAAACTAAAAGAATGAATCCTTAAGAATTAGGACTAGAGGCGATAGGGGACATTGTAGTGTATGTCAATGACGTCAGTGTTGCCTTTTGGTGTACTGTGGAAAGTCATATACACAAATAAATAAAAATCGAAGTAGAAAAGAATGAATTCTGAAAAACAAGTGAACAAATCTCCCTGCTATGTAATAAAAGTAGACCAGAAATCAAGGATGTGATGAGACAGAGGCAGGAAGAGTTTCTTCTTAAGGTCTCTGAGGACTGGATAGATTCAGTATGGAACTCTCTTTTCCTTTAGATAAACCTTACACTAATGACAAAAGGAGAATATTGCAGAAAACACCATCAATGTTAAGGCACCAAATATGTACACTCAGTGAGAGAAATAAGACCATGTCAATAGACTCATGAAAGTTTGTGGGAAATATCACATTTGCTCAGAATAAAAGCTCTGAAGAATGTGAAAAGGAACATACAGTAACAAAGACAATGGGCCACAACTAACTACTACACAAGAAGGACAAGTGGGATCACTCCACTACAGTCAGGACAGAGAAGAGCGTCTACTTCCTCTACACTAACTCAACACAGTACATCAGTGAGCAAGCTGTTCAAGAGGACACAGAAAAAAAATGTAATGGAGAAAATATGAAAGAGTTAGAAAGGACTCGAACCTCCATAAAGGAAATAGAACTCTGAAATCCAAAACTTTAAATACTCATGAGATAGCGCAGATCTGATAATCCTAATAACCTATATAATCCATATACAACAGCGCTTGTTTTATTTGGTTTATTTTGTTGTTTTGTTTTTATTGTAATAACAAGAAGATACTGAGAAGTCAGCAGACCACTCACAGTATCTAAAAGTATCTTAGACTCCCTGGTGTTAAAGGCTGCTATGAAAGCTACATCAGGGCCCAGATTTATCAACGGCAAGACCCAGGTTTGTATCCTGCTTGCTAAAATCCTAACCTGACAGGCAAGGGATGCCCTCTGGTGTCTTAGTGGCAAGAAGCTTTTGTGGGAAAGAAAACGCTTTTCGGTTTGATCACAGGACTGTTCCACGGAAGTAAATAGATGGATGTTACTGGGAAGCTGGCCAAAAGCCACTGATGAGAAAGGTCACAGGTCTTGGGAAAGAATCCACGACTGACATTTTCCTACATGTACAAATATTTAAACTTCTTGTAAATGACTCAGTTCATACCCATAGCCTGGTGCTTCTTCACCATGGGTCAAAGAAATTTTGTATTGAAAGAGCAACAGTTATTTCAGAGATTCATAACTGGTCAAGTACTGAGAACATTTGACTGTTGACTGCACAGCCTATTATGGGAATCACTCCCCACATATAAACCACAGGAATGTGACCAAAGGACAGGCAAAAAAGATTGTAAGAACTGGAGGATAAGGAGGAAATGGATGAAAACCTTTGTGATATGACATGGCAGTTTAAATTATGAATATATGGCCTGGATACCTGGCCTAAATCCATCCAAAATCATACATAAAATATGAGGGTGGTTAATGGGAAGAACTGTGGCTAACCAGGAAAGGGAGAGAGAGAGTGCATTGGGAGTGATGGGGATAATTGTGAGTGATTACACCTCTGCAGAGATTAAATATCAATATTATTAATTATAAAAATTAAATCAAACTTAAACTGATAGAATTTAAGGGAGATATCAATGCCTAGCTAAATGCAGACCTTTTAACATCATTGATATAACCATCTAATTCGAAGTTTTACACTTTCTGTTACTGCTTCCATTGGCTTAATTAAAACCGATCAGTAAACAGAAAAAGACTTAAAAGAAAACCTGAAGAAAACAAAGGAAAAAACGAACTAAGTAGAAGAGACCTCTACAATGAAAACTTGAACTCACTGAAGGAACTGAGACTGTCACAAGATGGGAAACCCTTGCATGCACATGGAATGGGACATATTATTATGGAAATAACAGTGTTATGAGATTTACATGATTAACTCAAAATCCATGGCAATCAAGGTTCCTTCGAATTACTTCATATACAGTGAAGAGGCTTCTAAATTTACACAGAAGCACAAAGACCCTAAGAGTGCAGAGCAACCCCAGACACATAGAAAAAAGCTTGATTCATACTAGCTGTGATTTTGAATGACCCTGTAAAACTACAGGTGCAAAGGCACCATGGGAGTGGCAGAAGAGGATACACCAAATCCAGGCCCAGCCACAGCAGGTGACTTGCACCAAAATGACAAAAACATATGATGCAGAATCAACAGCCTCATCAACCAATGGTATATGGAAAAGCATCTGCTTATAAAAGAAAGAAACTGTGTCCAATTCAATGAATTGTGAAATTTTCAGAGTAACACAAGGGACCTAGTAACTACAAATTAATAGGACACAAGAGCATAAAGCAACAAACAGGACTTCATGCAATTAAAAACTTGCACGGAAATCGTATGTAGAAACAGCCTACAGAATAGATAAATGTATTAGCAAACTTCCTTAGCACAATATACACATACAGATTTTATGAAGAAGTTTAAAAAAGCAAATAGATAATATTATAATCAATAAATAAGCATAACAAATAAAAGCAAGTTAAAAAGCAATTAAAACAGTTGAAATGTACATAGTACATACTCCACAGATTTAGCCAGGAAGAAGATGATCATCTAATACACACTGAGGAATCCTCTCTGTCTAGTCAGTGTCTACACTTAAGGTCCTAAACAATAACAAAAGCCGGAGACACCGCAGGAAGAAGAACACAGAGATAAAATGTCAACGGGAACCTAACTCATTGCAGCCACCAGGCAAGGCAGTGTACAGCTTCTTGAACAACCAAACAAGGAAAAAGAGAAAACCTAGACAAGATACTACTCAAGATTATGAAATAATGAAATACTGCAAAATATCAACTGCATAGAAAGAAACAGAGAAGGAGGAAAAGAGACATAAGAAATAGAAAAAAGTTAACAAAATGGTTTGTCTATATTTTCTTTCAGTGATTTCTTGAAATGTATGTGGATACTGTTTCCTAACCAAATACGAAAATAGAATACTTCTTCAAAAAACAAACTCCCAAATATATATATATATATATATATATATATCTCATATACATATGTATATAGAACATATGTATTTATACTTTTATAGAATTTATATATATGCTTTCATATACTTTTCATAAATATATGTGTGCGTGTGTATATATGAATATGCATATATACACACATACATATGTATATGTGTGTGTATATATATATATGTATGTATACACATGCACACATACACGCACATAATACTTCAAATATAGGAACACAGAATGTTAAGAGTCAAGAAAGTTTTTTAAAAAGACATGCTATAAAGAACATTTGTTATAATTATGTCAGGTAAGGGAAAAAGTAAAATCTACCAACTTATAAAACAAAACTATTAACAAATGATCAAATGGTCCATTTCTAGAAAGCTATGTGCTGAATCTGAATGCATTTCACAATACAAACTTTTCAAATACAATGACAGAACTGTAGAAGCAAATAAATAGTGATACACGGAAGCTCTAATCGTCACCATTTGGTGACGCTGAACATTACTGAAAGACAAACATGAAAATTACAGAAAACCAAGAACACCCAGCAGGCCTCCAGAGAATCATGAACACAACAGCAAAAGACACAACAGTCTGAAGAAACACAAAAGAATATTTGTATTCTGTAAAGATTCTAAGTAATCTGAACCAAGATCACACAGCCATTTTTCATATGAATAGAGTAAATCTTTCTAAAATTTATAAAATTGTGAGGAATCACAAAGACTTGAAAAATTGTAAGAGAAGGATCAAACCCAGAGGTGATATCAAAATACATAGAATTATAGCTATACAAACTGTGGACAGTTAACATAAAGATGGATTATTACAGGGGATGTCAATGGAAAGGCAATGGAGTCAGAGTTTAATACTCTGCACAGGTTTTAAGCAAAAATCTTATCAAAATCCGGCTGGCATTATTTTAGGAAACGGAGAAATTAATCCTAAAAGACACAGAACCTGAAGGAACTACAAAATGATTCATGAACTCTGAAAGCAGAAAAAAACCAAGAGACATCAATGGTTCTAACTAAACACTACATTAAAATTATAGTAATAAAACCTGGTAATATTGGTATGAAGACACAACCAGAGCTGTGAATAGGAGAGGAAAATTATCACTCATATGCAAAGTTAAATAAAATTTTATTTGCCTCAGAGTACTAATACATACAGAGTCTTCAAACACCTATGATAGGATAATCCTGAGACTATTCTCAGTGGAATTTACTTCTAATTTAATAGAATGTGGCAAAAACAATTTCATGTCCTGTTTCTACTGTCCCTTGAGCCTTGCCACTTCCCAAGTCTTCCTCCATCCCTCTAACATACCTGGATCCTCTGCTACAGTCTCTTCTCTTCACCATCCAGGGCTCTTAGTTCAGACTCACAGGTAAGCAGGACTGGCTGAGGAGTGTGACACCTGCATGTGAGAAAGACATCCTTCAGAAAGTAACTGGAACTTCTCATGAAAGAAAACTGAAAGATGCTTATCCCTGACAAAAGAATATACCTGAAGCAAGGAGAAAATCTCATGAACAATGTCTGTCATTCTCTGAGGAGTTCACTTTACTCTGTGAGATGGAAGACTCATCACACACAGTGTAGCTTTCCCAACATCTTGAGGAAGAACCAGGAAGACTGCAAGAAAACTATTCTCACCTAGAGAAACCGGACTGCTGCTCTTCTCCAAATGGAGATTCTCTGTACAAGCCCTGTGAGCAAGGCCTTCACATTCCTCCCGTACCAAGTCCACCTTCACAGCACTGAAGATCAACAAATCCTGAAATAAAAAATTAAAACAAACAAACAGACAGACAAAAACAAGACACAGTTTGGCCACATGTGCAAGGGCAGAGTGCTTTTTGTGAACCAAGGAGTCATTACTCGGATACAGGTGAGTGAATACAATTATTCAAAGGATGCTTTCTGATTTTAGTTTGAACCTAACCTGAGTTTGCTAACTATAAAATCTAGTGGTCTGATAGGCTCTCACAGCAGGTATAGTGCACTTGCCTGGACCGAAGAGCTTATCATGTGACTACACATTTCTGAATTGTGTATTTATACCCTGAATATTGTATTTATAGCGTGCTTACATTTCAAGACAGAAAATTAACAGGGTGTAAAATTTGCTTGGTAAACGTCAATATTTACAGCCACAACTGTGGCACTTGATAAAGTACTGCTATGGGTAGCCCACCAAACAGTTTATGGCTCACTCCAAGTCTTTATTCCAGCCAGCTGAGACCACACCCAAGTGTTCAGAGACCTAAATGTGGCTGTGAGTGTCCAGAACATAGGGTTTTTAAGGGCAGGATTTATCCAGACAACTTGCTTGGCAGCTGCTGGGGGAGTTCTGCAGAATATGCAGTTTGAAGCAAGCAGTTTTTAACAGAAGCTAACATAGAAGGTTAGCCATCCTTATGGGGGTTCCAGCACACCAGCAGCTAGGATCAAAGGTTGACTGGAAGGGTTTACTCCAAAATAAGCACTTTTATCAAAGTATGATAGGTTAGCTAGGACATCCTGACCTATAATTTCTAGAATAGAGTTGGGTCGTTTTTTCATGGGATTCTCCATCAAGAAAATAATTTTCTAGTTAACCCTGGAAACCGTCTCAGCAGGAATACAAGATGGAGGAATCTCTACACTGTTTTGCTCTGTCACAGTGTATTTTCTGATTCAATCAAATCTACACTGGTTCTTCATGCGACTAATATCTACAAAGCTTTCTGCTGTGCTCAGTCCCAGGGGCAAAGGACAATCTCTTGAATAGGCAAGTTGCAGAACTGAGAAGTTAGAAAGCTTGCATGTATTTAAATTCCAGCAGCTTTTGTAACTGCTACAAAGCAATGAGAAGCCTGCTTGCAGACAACGATAATGCAAACGCTCTATCAGAATATTTTCTGAAAATATTCTGGCCAGCATAAGATAAATGCAAAAATGACCACAAACCCCTGTTCAAACGATCTCAATCTTCCCGACAACGGTAGGATATCCATGGTAAGATTATCGGTAAGATTATCTACGACAGACTTGTGAGAGCGGCTTCCTTTGAGCGGTCTCCACCCTTGCTACCGGCAGGTTTCCCAGCCCCGCAGCTCCTCTGACCTGGGCGTTCCATGGCTGCCGGGCTGCGGCTCACGCTCCGGCGCTGTTGACTGATGACTTCCTCTGGACACCTCACGCGGCACCTGTGGATGCAGGGAATTTTCACGCCCTCCTAGAGAAGCCGAGGTCCTCCACCCGGGATTCCGGACCTAGCAGCTCCCCCAGTCACTCAGTGAATGGTGGATCTTTCTGTCACTCTGTCCAGGCTCCTTGGAGCGCCGCCATAGCTCCGCCCACTACACGCGGTTCCGGTTACGTGGGGTTTTGTAAGCCCGCCCCTTCCAAGCGCTTCTCTTTCTTAGTTTTCCAAGTCCACCGGATATTTTTCTTTTTCTTTCTTTCTTTCTTTTTCTTTTTTTTTTTTGTTTCTTTTTTAAAATCTTTGTCACCTTCTGATCAGGCAAGTATACCCGCCCCGCGGAGACAAGTCCCTCCTACTCAGTTTTGGGCAGCCTGTCACACAGCCCTAGCTGTCAGGGTGTGCTACACTCGCTCGGCACGGTCCCCCCCCCCCCTTATGTTTACTGACAGCTTAGACCAGTACTTGATCTAGTAGGACGCTGCACTCAGCTCTGACCCAGACCATGGCTTCTGAATCCTTCAAATAGAAGTATTCTGCCTAGCTTTTCATCTTGAGATACCAGCCTTCTGGGCTATAGAAAACAAAAACAAAACAAACAACCCTCCCCCAAAAAAACACCCCCCCCCCAAAAAAAAAGAAAGAAAAAAAAGGAAACAACAACAACAAGAAGAAAAAGCAGCCGACACCCTAAATTCTGAATTTTGTTCCATTCCCAAACAAAATAGTAAACCTAAGACAAAAATGCCCTTGACTCAAACAACTATAGCTTTAATCCTTTAAGGAAAGCACTGTAAATGATATCCAAGATACAGAACTCAAAAACCAGAGTCAAATTCAAGGAGAGCAAAGTAGGTTGAGCATGTGAATGAACTCAGAAAGGACAGGAACAAAATGATTTGTGGGCAAAAATACCCAAATGCCGAAGGAGATGAGGACGACTCATTTCATAGGATATGAAGAGTGAATTCAGTAAGTAGTTAGAAACATCAAAAAGTCCAAACTGAAGTGAAGCAAGAAATGAAAACTGCAGTGTCTAATAATAACTCAAGCAGAACGGGTAGGAGACAGAATATCAGCCTTGAAGGCAAAGTACAGGAGCTGGATGGCTCAGTCAGAGAAAACGATGAATTAAAAGAAAGTGCTCTATGAAATAGCACCGTTTAAAGGTAGAAGTGGAACTTAAGCTGCACATCCTACACTTATATGAAATAATTTAAATTTTTGACACAACAGCTCACTCTGGAGAGCTTTACTGCAAGCTGGATAGTTATTTTCATAACTATGCAAATGGAATGACACTAAAGAATCATCTTTCAGTATTACCTATTTCTTTAGAGATTCTAGCTTTTAAAAAAAAGAATTGTCATAATTATCATGAGGACCAGTTTTCTCTGGTGTGTTTTGAGGTTCAAGCTGTGTTGTCATGATTATGACAGGTTAAAAGGCATCCCAGCTCTGCAAGGAGATGGGAGCTCTGAAATACAGGTGCAAAACTAGGGATCTGTCTTTAAAGAACAGGGTTCTGAGCATGTTCATTTTTTAAAAAAAGGATGAAGGCTTTTATGTAAATAAATATAATATGTAAACTATACTTATACATATATATAAATATGTATTTACAAATATATATACTTATATACACGTATACACATTTTGATTTTCTGGCTTGCCGATACTTGTTTTCATACAAAGCACAGTAGACTTGTAGACCTATCTGACAGTTCAAGTAACTTATGTTTCTTAATGTTGATTGTGTATCAGTGTTTGAACTGCACAAATTCTAGTCTCAAATTCCTAAATTCCTGCTGTAGTTTATCTGAAATTTTCAATGACACCTTTTTGTGTGTTTATAAAGCATATACTAAAAGGGCTTGTTTTTTATAGAAAAAATTACTACTGAAGTACAATTTCTATGTGGAAAACATTTGTATTTACCTCTGACAGAATTATTCTGAATGAAGAATTATGTTTGATGTTTATTGGACAGATGATAGGACGTGCCTAGGAAGAGACATGAGTTATCACCCTTTGCATATGCATAAATACAAAATGGTAGCATTCCATTCCACTTGATTTGTTACACATTTTCTTAAGAATATCATAATCATTTTCCATGCATATCACACATTACTTTCTTCTATTTCAAAAACATGTAATACTGACACAAACAAATCTCACTGAAATTTCTAGATTATTCTAGTTCTCAGTAGGATCCTATTGTGTTGTGTTAGTGTAACCAGGAAGGTAGTAAGAATATATTTTAGAAGAAAAATTATGTTTCTGAGATAAACTCACCTTATGGCCTAAATTAGCATTTTTCATGTAAACATATATCTTTTACCAAATATATCCTAGGTATTTGAATTTATTTAAAAATAAATCTTTAAAAACTATTTTTTGCCTGCAATTGATGCATTAGAATGAAAAAATGAACAAAATGAGGATGAATATGATGAAATATGTTAACTATATTGTCCTCTAATTAGAAAGTGTTGGATGTATAGGAGTCAAATGTTGCCCCAGAATGAAAAGTGTGCACTCTTAAGTCATTGTTTCACTGACTTGGCCAATTCAGTGAATTTCAGTAAAAAATACCATAAATTCACTGGTTTACACATCATGTGTGTTTTTTATATTTCTCAGTAATTTTAAAATAAACACATGATTAGGTTTACTGATGGATCAAAACCTGTAGTCTTCTCTTTAAGTTTGAGCATGAACTCAGAGAAGAAAAATGTTCTCTGTGGAAGATGCCAGTAGCATGATTATTTATAGGAGATACATTCTCATGAACATTAAAAGCTTTTGCAAGATTCTAGCTTTTCATGTCACTCCAACCTTATTACAAAGACCTTTGTTTCAATCTTTAGTGTGTGGGGAGCAAGAGAGTCCACTACAGTGTAGTCCATGTATTGACTACAGATCTGTAGATCTCTGTCTGTAAAAACATTGTACCATTTAACAGGATACTAATGGAAAATTATCAGTTTTCTCTGGCCTTGGCTATCTGCATGTATGAAATAAACAGGCATCCCAGTCTTTTTCTAAATATGGCTCTAGTATTTGAATTTGCAGGAGTTGTTGTGAGAGTGTGTAAAAGTATAATCTCACTCATTTGTATATGCATCATGATACTTTACCTAATGATGTCTGTAGGGAAAAGATTAACTGTACAGTTATGATTATAGGACCAGAGTAGACTATATCTGAAACACTCTGGACACTCCTAGATCTCTACAAATATCAACATATGGAACTGTATGAGGTAGGAATTTATAAAGTCATGTCTCCATTGGTGCCATTCCCAGTTACCAAGAACAGTATAACAAGGAGACTTTCCTTATATTTCTGTCAGTCTATGTAGTTGAAGGGGACTTGATAGTGTTTCAACATTTTCTTCTTTGAAACAGAGATGAGGAAAAAGTAACAGCTCATGTGGTTCGAACATTTTGCAGAGAAAATGTGCTTGCAAGTGTTCTAGGTACTTTGGCTTACCTATGGATCTTTCCATCCTATCGTGAGTGATCATGAACAATTTCCGTATCTGTATCAGATGGTCCCAAAGGACAAGGCACAACTGCTGGCCTTGATATCCTTTATGCTTCGCTTCAGCTGTAACTGAGTCAGACTGGCCATCTCAGACAATGATTGTGGTAGCAAATTTGTCTCATATCCTAGGGGATAGGTGGAAAGAGTCGAGTCTCCTTTGCCTTTGTGAACATGATCCAAGTCATCATTCATTTATACTTGTTAAGAGCTGACGTGTATTACAACCTAACCATGACATCATATACAAATGTTGCTTTCATTTACAGTGACCCAGAGATTACTCTAGCTGTGAGCTTAGAATGTGTGAACATCTAGGTATACAGAGAGTATGGGTCACCACCCCACAGTGATATCTAACTACAAGTAAGAGAGACTTTCCTGCTGACTCATCCCATGGGTCTCTTGCTTTTTCACACCACCATGATAAAATGTCTGGTTTTAAAGTTTTGTGCAGACATTGAAACCCCTCAAATTTCAGATGAATATATTGCAAGACTGAAGAGGATATATTTTAACTGTGAGGTCTTGGCATATATGTGTAAGGCACTGAAGAACTCCTTATCACATGCCTTATTAAGATGACTAATGAGATAGACTTTGACATTGCATTTAGTGACTGCTGTTATGACATATAAAATGCTGCATATGTTGTTGCCCATGCCTTCTATGAAATGTTTCTTCAGCAGGTAGATAATCAGCCCATGGATAATGGGGAAGGACTTAATTCTCACTGCTTGTAGGTAGTGTTTGTATTGTGAGTTAATATTTGGTGTCATCAATGTCATAGTGTTTAAGAATATCTCAGATGCACAACCTGAGAGGACTAGGAAATAGAAAAATTTCTGAAGATTTTTTCATTCTGAGGAAGTAAATCTAGAGGTTGGTATAAATTTCTTATGTGAACGCATTGGAGTGGAAGACACTATTTATCAATGAAAGACAATGATTTTGATAAAAAGTACCTGAATATCACCACATCGATTTTAATAATGAAAAAATAATCAGTCTTTGTTCTTGAATACTCTCTATAATGAGAAAATGAACCCTTGTTCATTAATTGTCAAATATGTAGTGATCTCTCTAGAGGATAATTTTTACATATGTTCTCAACTGGTTATGACCCCGCTTTAGGTTCTGGGGACTTCTCTCAGTACTCTAAGCCTAATTACACAAAGAAACAGTGGTGGGATTAAGTTCAGTAATGCATGTATGTTCTTGTGTATGAGTATGTGTTTCTCACTGGTATGTATGTATGTTTGTGAGTTTCTGTGTATCTACGTGTCTCTATTGTTGTATATACATGTGAAAGACATCCTCCTGTCTTTCTATCTGTCTGTGGAAGTGAGCATAGATTTGTTTCTATTTCTTTTGGCATGGGGTGATTCTGTCTGTGTGTATATGCATGTGTGTAATGTCAGCTCAACTGTCTGCCTATGTTTGTCTGTGTTTCATGTGTATGTACTTTAATATATCTGTTTTGCTGTGTTTGTATGTCTTTGTGTGTGTTTCTATTTGTCTGTCTTA